ATATAATTATATACCATATTGTATATAGTATTTGTAAATTTATATCAATGACTTTTTTAGAATTAAGTCATAATTAAAAGAATGGTAAAAGCTGTTTTCACTTAGTTACTAGATAATGTAACTAATAATGTATTTTTTAACTTTGTTGTGATTTGAGTGCAAGTTTACACTTAAATTTAACTTAAATTCTATTTCAATTAAATTACAGAACAATATGATTCCCCTTTCAACACATTTTGTTTTGTGATATTCATTGCAGTCTCCACATATTAAGAGCACTCTTTTCACTTCATCCTGTTATTCAAATTCTTATTCATACTTCTATTCCTTCTTGCCTTCTGAACTTTATCTCTGGGAAAATACTGCCCTTTGGATCTTGTATGGTTGTTTGTTCTATAGAATAATTACTTCCTTAGTGTTATTGTTCAAATTGCAGGTTTATTTATTGTTTGGCTGAAAGTTGAGCCAAAGGAATGAGGTTAGTCCCAGACTCCAAGGGCAACTAAGGGCCATAGTTTCCAGAGTTCTACCAATCTCTATTGGACTGGTCATTTAATGTAGAAAGATTTTACAAAACATTTTTGTTGCTAGTATTCACATAATCTAGTCAATATTTGCTACATTTAAGCAATTTATACAATTACATTCTCTGGTGGCATAGTGATAAGGAGTTGTACTGCCAACCCAAAGATACGAGGTTCAGATCCACCCCATGTGATTTACAGCCTTTGAAAACTATCTGGAGGGGCAGATATGAGTTGTTTCTGACTCCATGGCACACACCAACAACACCACAACAATAATTATCACATATTCTTCTATGATTACTGTTGGTAAACATTATTTGGGATTCTGTTTGGTCTAATACTAAAAGAAGTCCAGGGGAAAGGATGACAACTATGAGTTCCTACATTGGATAACACCAACTCTAGTGATACCACTGGCCTCTCCATTTCTTTCTCCTCCTATCAGGTTGTTCAGTGTGCTCCTGGAGCAGGGCCCAGGACGGCCAGGGGATTCCCCACATACTGGGGGAAAACCAGGGGGATTCGATGTGAAAGCATTGCGGGCATTTAGAGTACTGCGGCCACTGAGACTGGTATCCGGCGTCCCAAGTAAGTGACATGCTCCACACCTGGGTTAGGGGTAGGATGGTAGGAATGGGACTGAGCTAACACCACCCCTACTTTGCTGCCCATAGGCCTGCACATCGTGCTCAATTCCATTATGAAGGCACTGGTACCTTTGCTGCATATTGCATTGCTCGTGCTATTTGTCATCATCATTTATGCTATCATTGGACTCGAGCTGTTCCTCGGACGCATGCACAAGACGTGCTACTTCCTAGGATCTGGTCAGCAAGTTCATACCCTCCAAGGACAGGCTATACTCCCTTCCCTGTCTCCTAACCCTTATCCTGTTCTCAAGAAAACCTGCCTAAATTAACATACTTCTCCACTCCTTTTGTACTCAAGCCTCAAACTACATCACTCAGATTCTGTCCATTGGTCAAAGCACTGCCCTATATTAAGACTTTACAACCTCCAGGACTCTCTGAGACTCTTTTATTCAGACCCTTCATCCTTGCCCCAATGTTCACTGGACCCATCCTTCTTTTAATAGACACTTATATATAAGACTCCACCCCATTATTTACAACCCTACAGTCTCCTGTTGGTTTAGACTTTTGACATGGCAGGGTTCAGGGTCCTATGAGGGCAAAACTGGGGGGGAGGGGGGGCTCTGTCCTTGAGTTAGAAATCTAGGCATCTGAGTCAAACTTCCTAGGTGGACAAGAAGCCAGGATAACACCTCATGAGTTTAGAGCAGAATCCCGAGCTTCAGTCTTCTCACAGATGTGGAAGCAGAGGAGGACCCATCACCCTGTGCATCTTCAGGCTCCGGGCGTGCATGTGTGCTGAACCAGACTGAGTGCCGTGGGCGCTGGGCAGGGCCCAATGGGGGCATCACTAACTTTGATAACTTCTTCTTCGCCATGCTGACAGTCTTCCAGTGTGTCACCATGGAAGGCTGGACCGATGTGCTCTACTGGGTAAGGTGGCCAGGGGAGAAGGGAACAATGTCTATCATGGAGGCCATACTTGCCCGTTCTCCTCAAATTTAGGAGGGAAGCTTATACATCTTGAAAGTGCACATGCCCTTTCTCTCCAGATGCAGGATGCCATGGGGTATGAGCTGCCCTGGGTGTACTTCGTGAGCCTGGTCATCTTTGGATCCTTCTTCGTTCTCAACCTTGTGCTGGGTGTCCTGAGTGGGTGAGAGGCCCAGGCCACACCACATAGCTCTCCTTCCCTTTTTTCGGCTGGAGAACTCCTAGACATAGTTTAAATACACCTTCATTGAGTCAACCAACATTTATTAAGCATACACTATGTGCTAGCAACACAAAAATATCCCAATTCTAGTGATGAGAGATAGACAATAGCAACACACACAATAAATTGTTGTATATATGCAATAAATAAGTACATAACCTAGGTAGTATTTTATATGTGCTATAGATAAAGTAAAGATCAGTAATAAGCAAATTCTGCAATTACAAATGAAAGTATCTGAGGAAAGAGTGTTCCATGGTAGGATAGCTCAAACAATTATTGCAGTTGCTGTCAAGAAGTTGTATGCCTACAAAAAATGCTAAATTGGCAAAAGTTGTATGGTGTGTATATTTATAACAACAGCAAAACTAAAAGTAATTGCTGAGGTTACTTATACAGTCAAATACCTGGTAAGTTTTAGTCTCTTGGTTTGGAGGTTAGGGTTATGTTTTCATGAAAAATTCCAGTTGGCCTATTACCATATTTAGTGCGTTTGTTCTGCCTTCTAAGTTCATGACATTGTGTCTGGGTTCTTAAAATCTTGCAAGCGACCATCCTAGCCCCAGCATTGGGTTTCTATTCACCTAGAGCAAGAAAGAAGGAAGGAGAGTCAGGAATATGGAGACTAGGAGGAGGAAATGGAACGTGTGGCTCATTAATTGCTCCATAAAACAAAAGATCTGGATGATATTTGACTATCATTATATTTTGGTGAAAGATTCCATTAAAGAATCCTTATAAAAATGGGGGGGAATGAGAACAATATTTCTAATTCTCGTGGATTCTAGATTTCCTTAAACTGTGAAGTGTGGGTGAACCCCTACAACTATTTTCTAAAATAATCTTCAAACTTTAAACCAAAAATATCCCTAAAATAATCTTAAAGCTGAACAATAGCATAGTGAATGTGGGAGAAGTCTGCCTTAAGCATTTTGCTCTTTTAAAAAAAATTTATTATTAATTTCAATGAAAATTTACAGACTTTGGATTTCCATTCATTCATTGTTGCCCTCTTCTCCCCTCCCAACCCTCCCACCCAGTACACTACCCTCTTAGAAAAGTAAAATTCTTTCATCGTTTTACAATCCCCTCCCCCAGGTCCACTAACCTATGCAGCCTTCACTCTGGACTTCTGTCATGACAAAACTACCTAATCACATATCCCTTTTAAACAGTTTCTCCTTCATCTGTTTCAATGCAGTATACATTATTAAACTCATCTTTCTCAGTCTCCCCCAACCCTGATGTTAGTCCTGTTTTACAACAGTGGCAACATGCAGTATTTGTCCTTTTGTGACTGAGTTACTTCACTCAGCATAATGTCCTCTAGGGTCACCCATTTTGAATAATATTGCATGAGTTCCTTGTTTTTCAATGCAACATAGTATTCCATTGTGTGAATATACCACAGCTTCTCTATCCATTTGTTTTTTGATGGGCACTTAGGTTGTTTCCAACTCCTTGCTATTGTGAACAAAGCCACGATAAACATGGGAGTGCATATATCTGCTTGGGTGTCAGTTATGGTCTCTTTGGGGTATATTCCCAGTAGTGGAATTGCTGTGTCAAATGGTGTCTCTATTTGCAACTTTTTGAGAAAGCACCATACCGCCTTCCCCAGTGGTTGCACCATTTTACACTTCCACCAACAGTGAGTAAGGGTTCCAGTTTCTCCACAACTCGCCAGCATTTGTTGCTTGCTCTTCTGTTAAATTTTGCTATTCTTACTGGGGTGAGTTGATATCTCATAGTTGTTTTGAGTATTTTGCTCTTTTAAGACAAGGTCCATATCTAAAAAAAAAAGACAAGGTCCAGATCTGTTTTTCATAGGCTGACTATGAGCCATACTTAACAGTACCTAAAAACAATAACATATAGGATCAAATTGACAACTCAAAATATTAGAGAACTTTAGAGGTCAATGAGTTCATGTTAATGCGGGAGGAACAATTCAGAAAAGGAAGGTCAGAATGGTTGCACAACTCAGAAATGTAATCAATATCACTAAAGTGTGCATGTAGAAACTATTGAATTGGTATATCTTTATTGAAATATAATTCACATCCTATAAATTCACCCTTGAAAAGTGTAAAATTCAGTGGCTTCTAGTATAGTCATAGAGTTGTATGTCTATTATGACTGCAATTGTAGAACTTTTTCATCATATATTATTGAATTATAGAACATTTTTGCCCTCACTACATTTTCACCTAAATTTTACTTATTGTTGTTGAGAGTCTCAGCAACACTCTAGAGCAGTGAAGGCAGTAGTGGTTCCCTCACCTAAACCTCCATTCTCTTCCTTCAGGGAGTTCTCCAAGGAAAGGGAAAAAGCAAAAGCACGAGGAGACTTCCAAAAGCTTCGAGAGAAACAACAATTGGAGGAGGACCTGAGAGGCTACCTAGATTGGATCACCAAGGCCGAGGAGCTGGACATGGAGGATCCCACCACAGGCGGCAACTCTGATTCTGTGGCTAATGAGAGCCAGCCTGGCCACCGTAGGCAGTCCCAGTCTGACCCACTCTCCATTTCACACATGCCCTCCTGAGACTCTGCAACAACTCTGGACCTAGCCCCCAGTTATGGCCCAGCATACAGAGCCCAGACCCCGGCTCAGAGACCTTCCCATTCTGTACTAGAACAAAGACTCCATATAGCCTTATAACCTAAGATATGCTCCCTAACTATCCCCTCTACCCCCACAGGACCTCAACTTGCTGAAGTGACGAATAGGAGACTTGGACGCCTGCATTGGTTCAGTCATTCCACCCGCTCCACACACTCCACTAGTAGCCATGGTGAAGGTCTAGCCAGGCTGGGGCAAAGGGAAGTGGGTAGAGGAGAAGCCCAAGATGGAACCCTGGGCTCTTCAAGCTCTGAACTCTATCTTCACCCTGTCCACAGCCAGTCTCCCAGCAAGTGACACTGGTTCAATGGTGGAGACCCCAGGAGATGAGGACGAGGAGGAAGGGGCTCTGGCGAGGTCTACTCAATGCTTGTGAGAGCCCCTAGGCCTGGACCTCTGATTCTAGCCCAGGATTTAATCCAAACCCTGACCCTAGTCCTTACTTTAGCCTCAGATTTTACTTCAGCCTCCAAATCCCAGTCCCAACCACTGACACCCCGTCAGCCTCTTATGACCTTCAACTCCATTCTCCTCTTTTCTAGAAGCAAGATCATGAGGACTAGGATCTGGTGAGTTTGGGAAAACTCTGTGGCTCCTTGTCTAGAGTTGATCTAGTGATCCCCATCCCAAGTCTCCCTACAACTACCAGGTTTTCCCAACCTGAATCCCTCAGGGTAGGCTTGAGTAGGTAATCTCAGCTGGTGGGCTCCTCATTCCCCCCACATTTCTAGTCACCGCCTCTGTAGAGCCAATCGGGACCTACGTGCACACTGTCGGCGGGCAGTGAAGTCCAATGCCTGCTACTGGGCTGTGCTGCTCCTGGTCTTTCTCAACACTCTGACTATCGCCTCAGAGCATCATGGACAGCCCATGTGGCTCACTCAAACCCAGGGTGCGTCCCTCAGCCTGACAGTTTTCCCTTCTACCCCCAATTCACTTCATCTCAGAAGCTCAAATCTAGGATCTCTAGGATGCCTTGAGACCTTCAGACACTGCCTTCCCACTCAAATAAATGCAGAAAATTTTAACCAGTCCCATCCACCTTGTAGCACTTACTGGATGCATCAGGCTCAGTTTACATCATTCAACTTCACTACAACATTATGTGAATTAAGTGCTTAGGCACAGACTGAGACACTGACTAATCCAGGTTTCAGCCAATAAATGGAAGAGCCAAGATTAAAACCAGACAGCCTGAATCCAGAGTCCATGCTCTTAAAAATACACTGTCTGGACAAGCTAACCAAGTGTCCCCATGGACAAAATGGAAATATTAACAGTATCTTTTTTGCGTATGAGATGGCTGGGATGATTAAGTGAGTAAAAGTGGGAAGTACTTGGAATATTGCCTGACTCAAAATAGGCATTCTATAAGTTTTAACACTTATTATGATTCATTATAGCCTCAACTCTAATCTGAAAATAGTGCACATCACCCCCTAAGCCAGCCCAGTCCCAACTAAACCCCAGGCCTTAATTAATCCTAGTGTTTTCATGGGTCTATAGAGACTAACTCTAGTTTTAACCCCAAACTTCACTTACTTTAACCTACAAACTCACTACAATTTCTGATACTACTATCATTCCAGCCTGAGCCTAATTTGATTACTGCTTTCCAAGATGGCCCTCTCTCCCATGCCATGAAGGGAGACTGGACCAGCCCAGTCATCTTAGCCCCTCTTTCTTATAGAGTATGCAAACAAAGTATTGCTGTGCCTATTCACTGTGGAGATGCTGCTCAAGTTGTATGGTCTGGGACCTTCTGTCTATGTCTCCTCCTTCTTCAACCGTTTTGACTGCTTCGTGGTTTGTGGAGGCATCCTGGAGACCACCCTGGTGGAACTGGGCACCATGCAACCTCTGGGCATCTCTGTGCTCCGATGTGTGCGTCTCCTCAGGATCTTTAAGGTCACCAGGTGTGTAGAAGGCAGAGAGGAGCAAAGACCAAAACACAGCCCTAACAGCCCTAAAAGCCTTCACCTCAACTTCAGCAATAAGTTCATCTGCACCATCATTCATTTAGCAACTATCCATAGAGTGCCTACTGTAGGCCATGCCCTAGGTAAGCATGAGGAATCAAAACAGATACAAGTTCCTGCCTTCATGGAGATTAGAATCCACTTCCATTCTCTTCCTCAACCTCAAACCTAGTCCTAACATAGCCTTCTCCTCAAACTCAACTCTATCCATTTCCAACCAAAACCTCACTCAATCCCCAAATATATCATCCACAAATCCATTAACAACCCCAAGACCAAATCCCAAACCCAACCTCATTTGCAACCTCATCTCAGCCATGGTTCCATTCCCAACCCCAATCACATTCTCAACCCCAATTCCTATCTAAATCTGTAACACAATCCTCTTATGACAGCTACCACTCTACCCTCAATCACAAGCTTATTCCCAGTTTCCTTCTCAATCAACAAATAACCCCCACATCATAACTGCAACCCTATCCCCAGCTATAACTTTAACAACAATCCCTTCCACAATCCCTAAATCAATCTGAAACTCAATTCTAGCTTCACTAAATTCCATCTAAACCCTCATCCTAAATCTAACCTCACATTACACCCCTAACACTAGGCTTAACTTTCCTTTCACTTCATACTCTAACCTCACTCCAATTCTGTCCTTGACATCAAACCCACCCCACCTAAATGCATCCCAATCTGGAACCATGTCCTGGCTTCCAGTTCACCAATGGGCATGCTCCCAACTCTGGCCCCTTCCATCTCTGCTGCAGACACTGGGCATCTCTGAGCAACCTGGTGGCATCCCTGCTCAATTCAATGAAATCCATTGCATCCCTGCTGCTTCTTCTCTTCCTCTTCATCATCATCTTCTCTCTGCTTGGCATGCAGCTGTTTGGTGGCAAGTTCAACTTTGACCAGACCCACACCAAGCGAAGTACCTTCGACACCTTCCCCCAGGCCCTCCTCACTGTCTTTCAGGTGGGATCTGGAAACTTTGGGGTGAATGGGTTGAAGAATTGGTATAAACTCAAGAGCTTCACAATGACTTCTTATCCCCAGATTCTTACAGGCGAGGACTGGAATGTGGTTATGTATGATGGTATCATGGCCTATGGTGGTCCCTTCTTCCCAGGGATGCTAGTTTGCATCTATTTCATCATCCTCTTCATCTGTGGCAATTGTATCCTGGAGAGCAATAGGATAAGGGTAGATAAGGAAATCTGAAGGTAGCACAGGCAGGCTCTGTCTTCATCTTTTTTCAACCTGAGCTCACCTCAGATATCCTACTGAATGTATTTCTTGCCATAGCTGTGGACAACCTAGCCAGTGGTGATGCAGGCACTGCCAAGGACAAAGGCAGGTGAGGTCTGGCTCCACTTCCAATACAGTCTTCCTTGGAATCCCTGAAAAGGAAGCACGACACATTCTCACATCACCAAGAATACATTTAGCCACCCTGGTAATCCTTACTTTCAGATGCAATGTGTTACACATTGCTCATTTATTGATGCATTTATTGAGCCCCCACTTTATGCGAGACTCTGTTCCAGACACTGAGAAGACAGCAGAGACAAGGAAAATACAGTCCTTCATAGAGTTGGCATTCTAGTTGGAGATGGCAAGCAAAATATAAACAAGTGAATACATATTGCAATTTAATTAAGTGTAGGTTAATAATATGCAATGCAGAAAAAGAAGAATAAAAAGAAAGAAATGAAGATTTTTCTTTGGTTAGGGTAATCAAGAAAGTTCTCTATGAAGAAATGGCATTTTAATAGACACCTCAAAGATGTGAGGGAGAAAGTCAAGCAAATATTTGTGGGAAATGTGTTCAAAGTAAGGGAAAGCAAAGTACAAAGCATGAATTAATGTTCTTTTCACATTCAGAAAAACACCAAGAAAACCAGAGAGGTAACTGTGGAGTAATCAAGGCAGAGTGGTAAGAGATGAGGCCAAAAGGAGACTGACTTGTCATTACCCATTGCCATTGAGTTGGAACCAACTTATAGCTGACTTTACATTGCGGTTTCTGAGGCTATAAATAACATGGAAGAAAGTTACTCATCTCAGAATCACTGATGGATACAAACTTTCAGAGAAATGCCTTTGGGTTAGCAGTGCAACTCCTTACAGACTATGCCTTTAGAACTCCTTAAAACGAAACTGGAAAGGCCATATAAAGAACGTTATGGGCCACAGTGTAGACTTTGGTTTGGCTCTGAGTGAGGAAAGAACCACAGGAGAGTTTTGAGTAGAGGAAGAATGTGACCAGATTTAGGATTTCACATAGTCTCTGTATGCTATGAGAACAGATTAAACAGGCAGGCAGAAGCAAAAAGGTTCTATGAGATCCAAAACAAGTTGGTCTGACTACAATGACCCCCCCAAGCCACCCCCCAAGCCTTCTTCATCCATTACAATCCTCAGCACCCACTGTTCTCCATCTTCTCACACAGGGAGAAGACCACTGAGGGGAATCTCCCACAGGAGAATGAGATGTTGGTGAGTTAGGAGTCAGGGCATATGTCTACATTACTACCAATATCTGTCTGCCTGTGCATGACTCTAACCTTCATCCTCTACCTCTTCATTACTCTATGATTGCACCCTTTCCACAACTTCCTTGTGCTATCCTCTGGTGTCTTTCCAAACATTAATGACTTCTATCTCCCTGATGAGAACAACAAGGTCCCTGATGGAAAGAACAAGGAAGAAGAAAGTACAAAGAGTGAAGAAGCAGGCAAGTGGGCAGGGCCAGATGGAGAAGAGATGAGAACTACTGATCTCTGAGGCTTTCCACTCTGGGAAGAAGTCTTTTCCAAAAGTATTCTGAAAATACAATTGGTGTATAACCAACTTGGGAAAACTGAAGTTAAAGTAGAGAAATAGAAGTTTCATTTACTGTAAAATTTCTTGGAACCTTTATTATAAAATCGTGGATATAGTGATGTTTCTTCAACTTTTAGATACAATTATATAAAAAAAACACTACTGTACACAATAGTGCTAGGGATATAGCAGTAAACAATATGGACTGAAATTCCTTTGCTAAGTAACTGGAATTCTAGCAGGGAATGGGAGAGAATTGACTGTATGACAAGCACTGTTCCAGTTGCTTTACATGCATTTTCTCAATCAATATCTCTGGTTCCATGCATAGAGGAGGAAGAGGAAGAAGAAAGCACAGGTCATGTGGAAATCCTGCAGGAAGTTGTACCTAAGGAGAAAGTGGTTCCCATCCCTGAGGGCAGTGCCTTCTTCTGCCTTAGCCAGACCAACCCGTAAGTGCTGGTGATTGGTGACAGCTGGGGCAGGAAAGGGTTGGGGCAAGGGTAGGAGCAGGACCATGGAGTATCCAAGGCAGAGGTCTCTTCATTCCCAGAACTTTATCCCTCGGAAGTCCCTAATCAATTCCAGAATTCTGAATTCTGACTGCGACCCATTCCTTCCTTCTCAGTCTGAGGAAAGCCTGCCACACCCTCATCCATCATCACATCTTTACCAATCTTATCCTGGTGTTCATCATCCTTAGCAGTGTGTCTCTGGCTGCTGAGGATCCCATCCGGGCCCACTCCTTCCGCAACCATGTGAGCCTGTGACTGGGGGTGGGGGGACATTTTCAGAGAAAGTCCCACTGAACTATATCAGGGTGAAGATGGGGGGAACTAGAAGGAAGGGAGAGGTACAATAATGGCTATTCCATAATATCAGCCAACACATGAAAGGGAAGCACTAAGTGTCAGCATGTGACTGGGAAGGAAGCTGTGCTCAGAAAGTATTCATGCAGTACGGAGGGTTCTCATGAGGCTGAAGGTACTAATGCATCAAGATAGAGGTAGAAGAGTCCAGATCTGAACCCTAAAGGGAGCACTAGTAGTCTAGTGATAAGAAGTTGTGTTTTAATTCCAAATTTGAATCTTAGTCTTTCTTATGACCAGGTCTTTGGGCTTATAGAGAAGCTCTTCATGATAATGAGGATAGAGAAAGAGAGGGGGAAGAAAAGCAAGTAAAACTTACATAGAGAGTTCATGTGTGTATGAGCCTCCTAGGTCATTACTCATTGGTTCCCCCACTTTCCTATTCCCCCTAGATTCTGGGGTACTTCGACTATGCTTTCACCTCCATCTTCACTGTAGAAATTCTACTAAAGGTGACTAATGAAATTCCAATCACACCTACAGTTGCCCCAACCCACTCCCCACCTGCCACAACAATCCATTTCTTCTGTCCTCATCTCCTTTTCCTTTAACTATCCCTGGATCTGGGGTCTAGCCTGATGTCTTCTTGCCCCTAGATGACTGTATTCGGGGCCTTCTTGCATCGTGGTTCTTTCTGCCGTAGCTGGTTCAATCTGTTGGATCTACTGGTAGTCAGTGTATCCCTTATCTCCTTTGGCATTCAGTAAGTGATTCCCTTCGCCACTTCATTCCTCTTTAGAGCTGAAGCCAAGCTTGGGCTATGGACTTAGGACTGTCCATCCTTAGTTCTAGTGCCATCTCTGTGGTGAAGATTTTGCGAGTGCTTCGAGTGCTGCGCCCCCTCCGAGCTATCAACAGGGCCAAGGGACTTAAGGTAGTTCTCATTCTATCCAGCCTGGGCCCTGCACTGCTTCTGGAGCTAGAATCACTGATAGGATGACCATTTTCACTGATACATGTAGCCACACATCCCAGACCACTATCCATGTGGCCTGAAGTGACCATATGTTCCTTACCACTACTGGCCATGTTTCTTTACTCCAAGTTCCTGACATATAACCACATATTCCTGACAGGAATATTCTTGGTTAATTCTCACAAATCCCTGGCCCACATAACTGGCTCTTATTCTTGACTGACAGCTAGATGTTAGAAGTCTGAGTCCCTGAGCCTCATCCATCACCAGAGTCTCCAACCTATGGTTATTTTGAACTGTAGTGCCCATTCATTAGCTATATGTATGGATGTCTGCAGCATGTGGTCCAGTGTGTGTTCGTGGCCATCCGGACCATTGGGAATATCATGATTGTTACAACACTCCTGCAGTTCATGTTTGCCTGCATTGGTGTACAGCTCTTCAAGGTAAGGAGGAGACACTGGAGGAGACCTAGGCAAAAGGATCAAGGTGAGGGTGAAAGATGAACTTTTTTTTGACAAATGTCCTCCATACAGGGAAAATTCTACAGTTGCACAGATGAAGCTAAACACACTCCCCAAGAATGCAAGTAAGTACCTAAGACCATGCTGGGAGAGGTAGAAAGCCAATGAGAGAGATAAAGATCCTCAATGAGATGGATTGATACAGTGACTACAAAAATGGGCTTGAATGTGACAGAGATTGTGATGATGGTGCTAGATAGTGCAAGGTTCAGAGCTGTTGTTCACAATTGACTCAGCAGCACCTAACAATATCAACTTAAGTCCTGCCCTCTACAGAGCCCAGAACCCTCTATCAAAGATTTTAGAGGGCCTCATGATCTCAGTAAGACCCTGAACAACCTTAGAATCCAGCCTCTAAAAATTTCTGTTACCTTCAGATTTCATTAAGACCCCCCTCAGACTTCTCTCAAGAACTGTAGAGACTTCAGATTTCGCCAAGGCCCCCAGAGTCATCCCAGCACTTCCCTCAAACTTATCTCTACATTCTCCAGAGTTATCTATATTCCAGTTGAGAATTCCCTAACAAGCTATCCCCAACTTTACCCCCTGATTTCTACTTTGAGACTCTTCCAGATGGTATTATAAGAGTATGGGCTTTTAAGTATATTTCTAATTCCAGGCTTACAGCCATCAATTAGGTGGTTTGGTAAATTTGTGCTTGAGTACTTTTCTTAATTTGCTAAGTTTCATTTCACTCAACTACAAAAAGAAGATAAGATGAGTGCCTATCTTACAAGGTTAAAGGGAATAAATTAATTACTACATGGAAGCAGGGAGCGTGGTGGCCTACTGGTAAGAAACTGCACTGCAATCACAAAGGTGTGTGGTTCAAATCCACCAGCTGCCCTGAGGGAGAAGGATGGGCAATCTCCTCCTGTGCTATTAACTGCCTCTGAAAAATCCACTGGAGGTTCAGCTGTGGGTGGGTTCCAACTAGACAGTACTTAGCAACAACACATGGAAAGTGCTTAACATGGTGAATGCCTAAAATACAGTTAGTGCTGATAAATATTGGATATTATTAGTCAGGAATTCCTAGGTGACACAAAGTTAAGCACTCACCTAAAAGGCTGGCAATTCTAATCCACGTAGGTCTTGGAAGAAAAGCTGGATCATCTATTTCAGATATCACAGTCATTGAAAACCCTATGGGGCAGTATAACTCTGGGGCAGTACTACTCTGATACACATGAGGTTATCCTGAGTGAATGCATTTGAGACAACTAGTTTTGGAGTCCCTGAATGGTGTAAACAGTAATGCACTGGGCTGCTAACTAAAAAGTTGGAGATTCAAATACATTCAGAGGCACTGTGGAAGAAAGACCTTGGCAATCTACTTTCAAAAAAAAAATAAGTCATTGAACACCTTCTAGAGCATAATTCTACTCTGACAAATGTGGAGTTGCCATAAATCAGAATCAATGCCACAGTAACTAGTTATTATTATTGTTGTTATGCACCATCTGTCAAATCAGAATCAATTCATATCTGACCCTCTAGAGGGTTATCAGAGGCTGTAAATAGAATGGGAAGAAATTGCTCGTCTTTCTCCATGGACCAGCTGGTGGATTTGAACTGCATGTCTTATGGCTGGCAGCACAACTCCTTACCACTAGGCCACCAGAGTTCTCTTTGGGTTTTATTAATGGTGAATTATCAGTATGATTTTTCCCTAGGTGGTGGTGATGATGATAGTGATGATCATGGTAGCCAGCACATATAGTGTCAAACACTTCTCATTTATTGTCTTATTTAATCCTTACACCAAGACATGAAATAGGTACTGCTATTAAACTTATTCCACAGATAGAGAAATCTGAAGCATTAAGAGGCTAAATGCTAAAGTCAGTAAATGGGTGCAAGATTTGAGCCCAGGGTATTCAGCTCCATCATTATATCCTGTGTTGGAAACTCCATGCCCCTTCCCATAGCTCCCAACTCTCTTCACCCACTCACCCTATTTGCAACATCCACAGGGGCTCCTTTCTGATCTACCCTGATGGTGATGTGTCGCGGCCCCTGGTTCGAGAGCGGCTCTGGGTCAACAGTGATTTCAACTTTGACAATGTCCTTTCAGCCATGATGGCCCTGTTCACTGTCTCTACCTTCGAAGGCTGGCCTGCGTGAGGGGCAGGGTCTCAAAGGGATGGGCAGGGGACTGGGAAGGGGTCCGTAGTAGAAGAACTTTGGATTTCCAGAAAACAGGTGGGAGAATCTCTTGTAGATGTGATGAAGGTCTCTTGAGACTAAACAAGGACTTTTGTGGTCTTGTGGTCATAACGGAGCAATGGACAGGGATCTGGGGACTTAGATAGAGGATGGTTGGAAATCTTTGAGGAAGTGGCCAGAGATATGGACATAACTATATATGGTAGTCCAGAAAGGACTGAATGGGGTTTAGGAGGACTGATTTTGGAAGGTCTCAAGGGTCTGGCTGGGTGTTTCTTACAAAATTTAACTGGAGATTTAGGAATTTTTAGAGGGCCATGCAGGGGATTTAAAAGTCTTTGTGGTGCTAGCTGAAAATCTTTGGGAGTAAGGAGCAGAGTATTCAAGTTGATGGGACAGAGGATTAGGAGATCTTTGGAGGTTTGTATGGGAGTTCTAAGGAATTGCAAAGGGATCTACAGGTGACTGAAGAAGAGTAGAGACTATGAGAACTTAAGGAATTTGGGGAATATATGAGGGTCTCTGAGTACCTGAGGATCTAGAGCAAGGGGTATGGAGAGTCTTTGAGGATCTGCTAGGATTCTCTTGGGAGATTTTTAGAGGTTTCAAGGAATTAGGGCAAGGAATGTGTGAGTCTTTAGAGTGCTATCCAGGATATTCTAGAGTGCTTGTAATTAATAATCTGGGAGTTGAGAAAGCTGGGATATCCTTTATCTTATCCTTGCCTCTAACCCACATTGGCCCCTCCAGACTGTTATACAAGGCCATTGATGCACATGCAGAAGACAAAGGCCCCATCTATAATTACCATGTGGAGATCTCCATATTCTTCATTGTCTACATTATCATCATTGCATTCTTTATGATGAACATTTTTGTGGGTTTTGTCATCATAACCTTCCGTGCACAAGGTGAACAGGAGTATGAAAACTGTGAGCTAGACAAGAATCAGGTGATCCTCAACTTTTTACCTGTGGCCACCAATCCCTCATTGCCTCCTTACCTCAGGACCCCATTACTCACTAATGCTGTCCACTTGTCTGCAGCGTCAGTGTGTGGAATATGCTCTCAAAGCCCAACCACTCCGCCGCTACATTCCCAAGAATCCGCATCAGTATCGTGTGTGGGCCACTGTGAACTCTGCTGCTTTTGAGTACCTCATGTTCCTACTCATCCTGCTCAACACAGTTGCTCTAGCCATGCAGGTTTGATCTCTCTACCCAACTCCTGGCAGACACCTGACTATAGTCTCCTCCCCTTAGGAACACTTAATCAAGCTTTAGGTAAAAGTAACAAAACTTCCACTGACAATTTTCACATTTTTTAAAAATCTAAGGCCAAAAGTTGTAAGTTGTATGCTGATTTTAGAGAGGTTAGAATGGGTGGGGGAAGGGAATTACAATGGCAATTGTAAGTTGTCATTAGTTCTATTTTATTTCATTTTTTCCTCACTCCCCTCTTCTTCCCTTCTGATCTCTATTAACCCTGTAAGATTGATTCTGTGTATAATAAACCTTTTCTTAGATTTTTATAGTTGTGGTCTTACACCATAATTACCATCAATTTTTAAATGCTCTACAATTTCAGAGATTCTATAATGTGAAAAGAAGTGTATCCTAGAGTCAATGAAATATGATAGGTACCTTATATATCAAGAACTGTAGAGGTAGACTGTTTACTCATTTACTTCAAGGACTCCAAGCTTGCTCTTTCTTTTATACTATTCTTAGCAAGTTGGTTTTCATTGTCATGATTGTTGCTTCAGATTGCAAATGACTGTTACAGCCCCAGATACCAGAATTATATTCAAGGAAGGAAAAAAGAGAGAGTGTTCATTAAAAAGGGAGGCCTCCTATTCTATCTAAGCCTTTAACTGAAAAGTAAAAAAAAAAAAAAAACACCCACCCAACTTTTCACAGAAGCCATATAACAAGCTTATGTCTTATCTTATTAGTCAACAAGCCTATCTCATTAGTCAGAACTGGACTTGCCTAGATTTAAAGTTGGTGGGGAAGGCTAGGAAATCAAGAACTGGGATTTCTTGGCGATCATGATGGAAGGTAGTCAGTGTGAGCCAATGTAGAGTACTACCAAATCCCTAGACTCACCTCAGTCTAGACAAGAAACAGGGAGGGTCATCTCTGCCTCAGTCTCTGTCCTCACAACTGATTTTCTTTTTCCTTCAGCACTATGAGCAGACTGCTCCCTTCAACTATGCTATGGACATCCTCAACATGGTTTTTACTGGGCTCTTCACTGTTGAGATGGTGCTCAAAATCATTGCCTTCAAACCCAAGGTGCCTCATGGCTCTACACCCACTCCCAGTGTTTTAATTTCTTGGAAGTGGAGCTCATTGTAAAACTCGGGTGGTGGTGGAGTGGCGAGGGGGAGTCAGGAAACTAGGAAGTAAGGAGAATCTAGGTGCAGGACAATTATTTAGTTCAAACTGGGCTCTGCTTCTTTAATGCCTCCTAACATTACTGCGCTCACCCCCACCCCTTAGCTTGCAATCTCTGAGAAGACAGGGTACTTCTTTCTTCCCATTACAGCATTACTTTACTGATGCTTGGAACACGTTTGATGCTCTTATTGTGGTGGGCAGCGTGGTGGACATTGCCGTCACTGAAGTCAATGTAAGAATTGGCCTCTTCATTAACCCCTACAAACCTTCCCCCATCTCAATCCCAGACTACTCTTTCACCCGGGTAGGTGGATCCCACTCACAACCAGTCCATTCCTGAAGGTTTAATGTTCCTCATTCTATCTCATCTGGGTCACTGTTGTGCTCATCTTAAGTCCTATTTTACCCTCATTGCATTTTTCAACTCATCCACTGACTCTACCATCTCATAAAATGCCTCTCCAATTTTTTTTTTCTTATCTCCATTGCTTCTGCATCCCTCTCCATTGGCTTCATCATCTCCACTGTCTCCTGCTTTGACTCCGTCATCCCTTCTGACTCCATTGGCTCCATTTTTTCCATCAACTCTACCATCTTCAATGCTGGAATTTTCATGGCTCTGTCATCATCGCTGACTACACCATTGGACCCATCATCTCCTCCGTTGGATACTACATGATTCTATCCCCTCAACTGACAATACTACTGGTCCTGTATCTTCATCATGGCATCTCCATTGTGCCCTTCACTGACTCTTTCATCTTCATCACTAAACCACTGACCCTGCAATTTCCTCTGTTGACTCTAATATTAACTACTACATCACTTCCTTTACCCTCTCTCTTCTGCCCCATTACCAAAATTTTCCACAACCATCTTGATACAATACCACATAAATGTCTTCAACCTTACCACTTCTGTATATGTTCCATCATTTTCCCTTTTTTCATTTGAGCCTATGTGACTTTTTCTATCACTTCTATCCTGACTTTTCTTCTTTCTAGAATGGTGGCCACCTTGGTGAGGTAATGCCTCACAACAGGGACTCTCCATTTCTTATCCCACCAATTCACTTTTCCTTTTTCTCTTGGGAGTTATTAGAATTTTTCTCTGACCCTGGGACCTCAGTTCTGAGAAATTTGGGAGTTGGGAGGGCCAAGGGATGAGACAAAAATGTGGCTAGAATGAGTGTTGATTAAGTATACCCACCACACTATCAATCCCAGAGCTCTGAAGACAGCTCCCGCATTTCCATCACTTTCTTTCGCCTTTTCCGAGTCATGCGATTGGTTAAACTTCTCAGTAAGGGTGAAGGAATCCGCACATTACTCTGGACATTCATCAAGTCCTTCCAGGTAAATCCCCATCCCATCCTTTTGACCAGAATCTTACCCTTACTCTCTCAGCCTGCCCATTACCACCTCCATAACTGCATGTCCCAGCATACCTCACCCACTTCTAACTTGTCATCCTCAACTTTCTCTCTCTCTGGTCTCCTAATTACCAACATGCCTCTGGCCTCACTGATTCTACCCTTTTCTGTTTAATATTGTGTTTATGGGTGGATAACATGTCTCATTTTGGGGAATATTAGTAGTCCTGGGATTCATTAAATATTGTGGCATGACCAGAATCCAAGAAGTCATGCATTCAGCCTAGACCTGAGCATCCCCCCTCCCAATCACACTATGTCATTGTTGTTGCTGATTGACATCGAGTCAAGCACAACTCATAGTGACCCTATGAACAAAAGGCCTTAAGTTTTTCTAGAACTATCATCATTTTTCAAAATCATAGGGTTTCCAGAGCCATGCTGTTTAGGAAGTGGATGCCACTCCTGCTTCCAAACCTGTTTTAAACTGGGAGCTCCGCCAAATACTGTCCACCATGGGTAACCGTTATGGCATTTGACACCCCAATGGCACAAGATCCAGAATCACAGCAACCCCAGGTTATCTCAGTACAGCAAACTGACAGAAAACTGCTGTACCACTTAGAAGAATGTTCCTTCAATAAAATAGCAAGCCACTTTTAAACACAAAGGCTCTCCACAAGGTCTTGTTGACTCTAAACAAGAGGCTTAAATAAAACAACCAATATAATATGTTATTGTTGTGCCACTGAGTTGCCTGTGACTTATAGCAACCCTATGTACAGCAGCTCTGAATCCTTTCCTGTCCTGAGCCAGTCTCACCGATTCCAACACACCAGGCCCCATTGCCCCACTTACTGTATCAATCCATCTCATCCAGGGTCTTCCTCTCCTAGGCTTTGCCATATGTGGCTCTTCTCATTGCAATGATATTCTTCATCTATGCAGTCATTGGCATGCAGGTGAGCGAAAGTCTTAGAGCATCCCTCAGAGTAGGAATAATGCCAAATTAGGATTGGTGGGTGGGAAAACAGAAGTTAGATTACTCTAGGTCACTCCATATCTGTGAATTGGGATAAGCAACGTCAGCTTGTCAGAGTTTGGAGGATCTGTAGGCTTTATGAAGTGTGAAATTGATGGGAACATGTGGAAGAGTAAGGTGAACACTCTGACATAGCCCCTCTGCACCCACAGATGTTTGGCAAGGTGGCTCTTCAGGATGGCACACAGATCAACAGAAACAACAACTTCCAGACCTTTCCACAGGCTATACTGCTTCTGTTCAGGTGACATCCACCCCTCCTCTAATACCTCGATCCCAATAATCCCCTTGCACTGAGTACTCACACACTTTCTCTGGGCCACAGACTTCCAGAGGTATGGAAATCACATGGGGCTCCATAGTGCCTCTTTCCTGGTTGTGATCTGAAGAGTCTTATAGAATACTCTAAACTCAGCCCTCCCTTTTCTGGATACAAGATGTAACCCCTTCTTATGACACGGTACTCCAACTGTAAAATATGGACATAACTGTCATTACCATGACTACTACAGAAGCTGTTGAAATATTGAAGTGCTATATGTTCCAGTATAGCCCCTAGTGAGGTTATCTTCTTACTCCCTTAGCTTACACAACTTCACTTGTTATAATGTTATTGTTTACCCTCCAAAACACCACACTTGTGTGACCCTTAGGTGTGCCACTGGTGAGGCATGGCAGGAGATAATGCTCGCCAGCCTTCCTGGAAATCGATGTGACCCTGAATCTGATGTCAGCCTTGGAGAAGAGTTTACCTGTGGAAGCAATTTTGCCATTGTTTATTTTATCAGCTTCTTCATGCTTTGTGCCTTCCTGGTAAGAATCATTTCCCACAACCACCACCACTGTTAAGGACTCTGAGTCCAAAAACAGATGATCAAATGAGACAGGGAGCCCAGATCTTCATGGTGAGTAAAGGGCTAGTCTCATGATTAGATCAACTCAGGGACTCATAGCTAAGATGAATTCAGCCTCCCCTGGGGTTTGGAAAACTGTGACCACACCGAGTAGCCTGCAAAGTCTGTCCCATAGGTCTCTGAGAGGGTTGTCTACTTCATGGAAGGGGTGGGCAAAAGAAAAAAAATCTATCTTGGAGGTAAAAGAAGGGTTTAGCAGTACCCTCGAAGATTTCTGCCCCTGGGTATTCACACTTGCATACCCAACATTTACCCAGAGTGGGTATGTCTATGTCCTTCCTATGTGTAGAGACTTGTGGCAATGAATATGCCGCTCAACTCAGATGGTACAGTGACATTCAATGCCACATATAAGCTTATGCCAGCCATCTATGAACCCTCCAAGACTCTGCTCTCTCCTTCACCTTACCCCTCACCCCTGCTCACTGGCCTACAGATCATAAATCTCTTTGTGGCTGTGATCATGGACAACTTTGATTATCTAACCAGAGATTGGTCTATCCTGGGCCCTCATCACCTGGATGAATTCAAGAGGATCTGGTCTGAATATGACCCAGGGGCCAAGTATGTTCTCTAACCCCTGACCTTGGATCTCAGGGGTCAATGCATTGCATTACACAGTCCTCCAGCCCCAGAACCACTAAACCTCCATTACCCAATCAATAGATGTCCCAAGATTTCCATTCTCCTATATCCTGTCCTCTCCAACTGCCTTCCAGGTTTTTTATTGCAGAATCTGGGGGTAAGGTGGCAGTTATGAGTTCGTGGGATCTTGAAAAAGGGATAGAGGGAATATTAGCAAACTGGGAGTGACACTTCACCCTATTCTCACCTAACTCAGGGGCCGTATCAAGCATCTGGATGTAGTTGCCCTCCTAAGACGAATTCAGCCTCCCCTGGGGTTTGGAAAACTGTGCCCACACCGAGTAGCCTGCAAGGTCTGTCCCATAGGTCTCTGAGAGGGCTATCTACTTCATGGAAGGGGTGGGCAAAAAATCCATCTTGGATGTAAAAAAAGGGTTTAGCAGTACACTCAAAGATTTCTGTCCCTGGGTATTCACACTTGCATACCCAACATTTACCCAGAGTGGGTCTGTCTATGTCCTTCCTATGTGTAGAGACTTGTGGCAATGAATATGCCGCTCAACTCAGATGGGACAGTGACATTCAACGCCACACTTTTTGCTCTGGTTCGGACATCTCTGAAGATCAAAACAGAAGGTTTGATTAAGGGGATGGAGGAGGGGAAGATGCGAGAACAAAACTTTTTGAATTAATGGTAGGTCCACTCTTAGCTTTGAACCTCAAAATGAATGACTTGGCCTTTCCAGGCCCATTTTCCCAATGAGAGAAGTATGACTAGAAGTTTATGAAGCCCATACCTCCCATCCTTCATCAACAGTGAGCTATAGTGGGTTCTGCTTATTGGCTCATGCCCTCCATCCAACTCAGGAAACCTGGAGGAAGCCAATCAGGAGTTGCGAATTGTCATAAAAAAAATTTGGAAGCGGATGAAGCAGAAACTTCTTGATGAGGTCATACCCCCTCCTGATGGTAAGCTAGCCCCCCCCCCTCAATTGCTAGAGTTCACCCCTGAATGCCAGGTGGTTGTTCACCACAACAAAACCAGAACTGGGCAGGGTGAAGGGAAATCCTATCTAGTAGGCAATGCTGGGGAAGTTGGGAGAAGAAGAATCCTGTGTAACTTTGCCTCCTTCCCCTCACCCACAGAAGAGGAGGTCACCGTGGGTAAATTCTATGCCACATTTCTGATTCAAGACTACTTCCGCAAATTCCGGCGAAGAAAAGAAAAGGGACTACTAGGAACTGAGGCTGCCCCGAGCACTTCCTCTGTTCTTCAGGTCTTCAAGGCAGAAAGTAGAGGGGTGTGGAAGCACTGTAGTTGGAGCTGACCTTCCTCGTCTCTTAGGAAGTCTATGTCAATGATGAGGAAACTGAAGCTCCAAGATCCATAGAAGGCTGGGGGTGGCTTAGGGGCTCCTTCCCCCACCCACACTCCTATGCAGGAAGCAGGTTCTTGGTGGGGACATTTCAATTCTAAATTTCCCCACTTCTCTGTTTTTCCATCCCCATAGGCAGGTCTGAGGAGCTTACAAAACTTGGGTCCTGAGATCCGGCAGGCCCTCATCTGTGACACAGAGGAGGAGGAGGAAGAGAAGGGGGGAGATGAGAAGGACTCAGAAATCTACCAAGTGAGGACAAGTTTTTACTTCCCTGAGGACACTTGATCATAAAACACTCCCTCAATCCACTGAGTGATTTTGATACTGTCTTGGGGAAACATCCCTAGAGAAGTCCTTCTACAATGAAAATATATTTCTTTGCTACCCACCATGTGCTACACTGAAGGACAAGACACAGATTTGACCCCGGGGAACTCATGGACCAATGAAGAAGACAATATGATCAAGTAACTTAGATCTAACCTGGATACAGCTCTTAATTCTGTTGACTCTTCACAGGCCCCATTGGGCTCCCAGCCCCCATCTCGCTGGAGTTCGATGATTTCTGTGTCTCTTCCTATTGGGAACAAACTCCCAGACTCCCTCTCCCTTGGACCTAGTGATGATGATGGGTGTATTTCCAACACCAAAAAGTTCCATGTGTCCCAGGCTGGATCACATACCCTCAGGTATTGGCAAGGATCTAGGGTTGGCGAAGAATGCAGAGGAAAAAACATTGGGGATCATTTAGGAAGATTAGGAAGAGGAAGGCCTAGAGGGCCTTAGAGTAGGAATTTGGAAAAGATGGAGAAGATTTGAGGGCTCAGCTTGGAATAGAGAGTACTAAGAAATTAATATGAGAAAAGTTTAAAGCATAAAGTATATGGTGTAGAACTAAATGTGTTTGAGTTAAAAATCCCAACTCTACAATTTGCTAACTAAATGACCCTAAGCTAGTCACTTGGTTTTATTATCATCAATTTCCTCATCTATAAAAAGGGATAATACTTCATGGAGATAAAGGCAGGATTCAATGATGCAATGGATGTCAAGCACCTAGCTTTTACAGCCTTTTCCTCATACACACATCTGTGTGAAGTTGCATATTCATCAGATCAACTTTGACTTTTTAAAAAAGACACCAAAGAACCACAAAACTTTGGGTCCCTCTAATAAGACAAAGGGGGACTCTGGTGGCCTAAAGTAAGGAGTTGTGCTGCCAACCCAAACGCACACAATTCAAATCCACTAACTTCTCTATGAACTTTCTGCCTCTGAAACCCACTGCAGAGTGAGTCAGTTATGACTCAGTTCCTACTCAATGGCATATAACAATAATAAGGCAAAACAGCTTTTAAAAGAAATCCCATGTATATTTTGCAGTGGTTGTTAATATTCACTATGTAAATTATCTCACTATAACAATGAAACGTAAAAAGCTCAGCGTTTTTGTAGGCGATGGGGTATGGGACAAGAAGTCGTGAGGGACTCAAGGCTACCTAGTGGATGAATCTGGTGTGCCTAATGTGCCTTCCCTTCCCTAGGAGAAGTTCAGGGACTCTCATCTTGACAATCCCAGAAGACAAACCCAAGGGAACCAAAGAGCAAGACAAACTAGATGAGGAAGAGGACGCCTCTAACCTGTACTCTCACCAAAACACGTGAGATGAGTCCTTGAGCCACATGTTGGAGAACAGGATTGATGGATCCATCTCCCATGCCCAATGCATGAATTCATCCCTATCTCTTTCTCTCCCAACATAGGTTATCTTATACAGATGATCAGGCAGGAATTACCCCACAACTAGCCCTTTTGCCATCTTACAGACCTCAGAAATATGTAAATGGGCACCATGTCCCCCGTCGTCGTATGCTGCCCCCTACTCCTGCAGGTGAGAGTAGAAATGAATTCTAAGGGCCCTCCAAGGGCCATAAGCGCAGGCAGCTGGGAAGGCATGAATGTTTCTCTTTGTCCTTCATGTGCTCCAACTGTCTTCAGGTCGGAAGTCCTCCTTCACCATCCAGTGTCTGAGGCGCCAGGGCAGCTGTGAGGATTTACCTATCCCTGGCACCTATCATCGTGGACGAAACTCAGGACCCAACAGGATGAAGGTAAGAGGAGGCAGTGCTGGGCTTTGAGCTTCACTTAAGTTTAATTAATTTATCAAACATACTACATATATGGTCTTTCTTAATAATGAGACATGTATGAATTCACACAGTCCTCATTATATCTATGAAGTGAAGAAAATGAAAACAAACCCACCAAAGCCAAAATATGGCTTGGAGTTTATGCCAACAGAATTTTTAAACTGTCTCAAGAATAGTTTGATGTATTAAACACTCATGACCTGAGATCAGATGAATTAAAGAATGATATCAATAATATCATCCATGAAGACAGCAAAAACAAAGACAGCAAAGAAAGAAAAGGCCAAAATGGATGTCAGAAGAGAATCTGAAACTTGCACTAGATTGTAAAGAAATAAAAACAAAGGGAAGAAATGCTGAAGTCAGAGAGGTGAACAGATTATTCAAAGACAAAGAAGAGAAACTACTATAAAGAAATGTGCAAGGAGCTAGACTCAGAAAAATCAAAAGGGAAGAACAGGTTCAGTATTTCTCAAGCTGAAAGAACTGAAGAACAAATTCAAGCCTTGAGTTGCAATACTGAAGAGTTAATTCAATGGGGTAAATATTGAATGATGCAGGAAACATCAAAAGAAGATGAAAGTACATATAGAGTCACTGTACTAAAAAGAATTGGTTGACACTGAACCATTTTAGGAAGTTGTTGTTGTTGTTATGTGCCATTGAGTCATTTGCGACTCATAGCGACCCTATGTACAACAACCCTAAACCCTGCTCTATCCTGTGCCAGTCGCACTGCCTCTGACACATCCATCCCAATTACCCCAGTCACTGAATCAATCCACCTCATAGAGGGTCTTCCATATGATAAAAAAACCAAGGACACTGAAGGAAGAAGTTTAAGCCACACAAAGTAAAGCCCCAGGAATTGATGGAATACCAATTGAGGTGTTTCAATAAATAGACCTGGGCATGCTCAGTAGTCTGTGCATAGATATTTGGAAGACAGTTACCTGGCCAATCAATTGGAAAAGATCCATAATTGTTCCTGGTTTGTTTGGTTTTTTTAAAAAAAAATTGATAAAACAGAATGTGCACCTTATCAAACAATGTTATTAATATCACATACAAATAAAATATTACTGAAGATTATTAAAAAATTATTAAAAATTATTAAAAAATTACTGGACAGGAAACTTCCAGAAATTCACCTTGGATTCAAAAGAATCCATGGAATGAGGGGTATCATTGCTTATGTTATATGAATTTTGGCTTAAAGCATAGAGTACCCAGAGATGTTTACTTGACTATGGAAATGCATATGACTATGCAGATATATTTGACTGTATAGATCATAACAAATTATGGATATTCCCTTTTGAGAACAATAGTAATTACAAAATACTTAACTGCACTTATGTGAAGCATATATATAGACAGTTGTCCCAACAGAACAAGAGAACATTGTTGTTGTTGTTATGTACTGTCAAGTTGACTATGACTCATAACAACCCTAGGAACAACAGATAAGAAACTTGCCTTTAATTGTGCTCATGTGAATCATAAACAGTTGTCTCAAGAGAACATTGCTGTTGTTGTTAAGTGTTGTCGAATTGTCTATGACAGTGATTCTAAGAACAACAGATTGGAAGCTTGCCCTATCCTGTTCCACCCTCATCCTCACAATCTCTGACATTCTCCAGCCCACTAATACAGTCATTGTTTCAAGCCATCTTGTTGAGAGTCATGTTTTAAAATCAGGGAAGGTGTGCATCAGGATTGTATCCTTTCTCTGTACCTAAGCAATTTGTATGTTGAGCAAATATTTTGAGAAACTGAACTGTATGAAGAATGTGGCATAAGGATTGGAGAAAGACTCATCAACAACCTGTGTTATGTAAATGACAAAACCTTGCTTGCAGAAAGTGAAGAAGGCTTGAAGTACCTATTGTAGAAGATCAAAGACTACAACTTCCAATATGGATTACACCTCCACATCAGGAAAGCAAAAATGGTCCCCACCACATAAGCAACATCATAATAGAGAAAATATTGCAGTCAATGATTTAATTTTACTTGAATTCTCAGTCAACACTCATGGAAGCAGTAGTTAAGAAATCAAAAGACATCTTGCATTGGGGGAAACCTGCTGTCAAAGACCTCTTTAAAGTACTAAAAAGCATTAATGTTCATTGAAAGACTAAGACTCACCTGATCCATCTGTAAACTGGAAAATCAATAAGGAAGAATGAAGAACTGTTATGTTTGAATTGTGGTGTTGGAGAAGAGTGCTGAATATCCTGTGGACTGTTAAAAGAACAGTCTGTTTTGGAAGAGTGACATCTTTAGAGGATGGTGAAATTTCATATACTTTAGGTAGGTTGTCAGGAGGTGTCAGTGCTTGGAAAAGAACATCATGCTGGGAAAAGTGGAGGGTCAGTAAGAGAGGGGAAGCCTCTCAATGAGATGGATTTGACAATGAGCTTGAGCATGGTAGAAATCATTAGTCTGATGAATTGTTCAAGTGTCACTATGAGTCACAGTCTCGATGGCACCTAATAACAACATACCTGTAAGATGAATACTCTTGTTACTCACCAGTCACATTAAGGGAACAGAGAGATTTACTAGAGATCACACAACTAGTAAATGACAGAGCTAATACTTGAACCCAGGCCTTATGCACTTTTACATAAATTCAAGTTTGAGTCACACTTATTCTATTTCGTATCAGTTGTGTATTTGGGGGTAAAAGAGTAGGTGCAAGTGTGAGTAGTAGACATAGGACTTATACCACATCCATCAATCATGTCTCTCTGGTATTTATTTTGATCCAGGGTTCCTGGGCAACTCCTCCTCAGCAGGGTCGACTCCTATATGCTCCACTGTTATTGCTGGAAGAAGGTGCAGCAGGGGAAGGGTACCTTGGAAAACCCAGAGGTCCACTGCACACCTTCACCTGTCTTCACATGCCTGGAACTCATGCAGAACCCAACCATAGCAAGAGGGGCAATGCCGACAGCCTGGTGGAGGCTGTGAGTCCTGAGGAACATTGGCAAGAAGGGCGGGGGTAGAAGAGAGAAGGAGAAACTTAGGAAAGAGAAAAGGGATCCCTAGTCTCTGTGTAAGTAGCTCTGGCAGTGCCATAGTTAAGCCCTTGGCTGCTAACAGAGAGGCTGTTACACAGAGGGTGGTGTGAATCCAATCCATGGGAGAAAGATGTAGTAATCTGCTTCCATAAAGATTGTTGTTCTATACATCAAGTCAGAACTGAGTCATAGCTGACCCTCCAGTGGGTTTTCACAGACAGTTTTCACATGGGAGGAGTTTACTCATCTTTCTCCTGTGGAGCAGCTGCTGGGTTCGAACTATGTGCCTTTGGAATGGCAACACAGCTGCTCACCGCTAGGCCACCAGAGCTCCCTATACTTAGGATTAGGATTCTTCCGTCATAGGGTAATTGTGTTCAATATTTTGAGGAAGCCGTTTTCCACAGTAGCTGTACCATTTTATATTCCTACCAGGACTGGATAAGAACTCCATAAAGGTTGCAACCTTGAAAACTCTATGGGGTAGTTCTATATTGTCCTGTAGAGTCAGTATGAATTAGAGTCAATTAGAAGTCAATGAGTTGTAATCTTTATGTCATTTATATAGATATGCTGTGATTTTGCAGCATCTACTCTGCCTGGTGTGTACATCTCTGTCTGGACTGATTCCCTATATGCCTTCAGGAAGACATCATTTCTCCTGACCTTGTGTCTACCATTGCTTTGACTCCTGGCTGTCACTGTTTCATCTACTAACACTATCTGTGTCCCCAGGTGCTAATCTCAGAGGGGCTAGGTCTCTTTGCCCAAGACCCACGCTTTGTGGCCCTGGCCAAGCAGGAGATTGCAGATGCATGTCACCTGACACTGGATGAGATGGACAGTACTGCCAGTGACTTGCTAGCACAGGGGACCAGCTCACTCTACAGTGACGAAGAATCTATCCTCTCCCATTTCGATGAGGAGGACCTGGAAGATGAGATGGCCTGTGTCCATGCCCTTTGAATTCCCAGCCCTCCCTCACTGCTCAATAAACCTCCTGATCTCCTCTCTCCAGAGGAAGACAGGTTTGGACATAAACACCCACCCACCCCTGTGTTTCTGTGCCTTTGTGCTATGGACCTAAGCCTTCTCAGAGGACCCCATTTATATATCCACATTGTAGTCTAATCATGAGCCACTGCCTATACATGTGTACTTCCTGAAACCAGGAAAGCCAGGCCTGATTATTCAGCATCAGGAAAGGAGGGGAGATGAGAAGAAAGAAATAACAGCCAAAAAAAAAAAGCTGGAAATAGAGTAGAGGGGGAATGGAGTGGAGGCTAAGCAGATACTAAAGAAAGAAGAGGGGATACAGTAGGCCTTGAATGAGGATAGGTGAAATGTACGAGATTCCACAAGGGATTAGTCAGGTCAGACTATAAAAGGAAAGCATATATAGAGTTGTGCCAGTAAAAAGACCTGCAGGTTGAAATGGCCTGTCACATAATATGTCTTAAGCAGAGCTGTCCTCTGAAGATATCACAAATTTCAAGGAGGCAAAAGTGAGATCTCCCTGTCACCATCCCCCCACCTGAGAAAAAAATTAAATGTATATTTAAA